TGACCTCCACAGGCACTGCGTGACATAAGTGCACTTACACACATGCAGGCAATACACTCATACACATAAGATAAAAATAATTAAAAAAAAATTTTTTTTTAATTTTATGTGTATGAGTGTTATGCCCGCATGTGAGTAAGTGCACCCGTGTCACGCAGTGCCTGTGGAGGACAGAAGAGGCTTTCTGTTCTCCTGGAACTGGAATTATGGACAGTTGTTAGCTGCCATGTGGGTGCTGGGATTTGAATCCCGGTCTTCTGCAAGAACAACCAGTGCTCTTAACCACTGAGCCATATTTTTAAAGTTCTTTTTACTAACTTACCTCCATTCAAGTATTGACTTTTTCATTTCCTGTTTCTCTCTATCAGACCTGTTTGTACAATAACAGCAAGATGTGGTTCTACTAAAATTTTAGACTGAGTACCAAGACTTTGGTGATGTAAAATGAAAAGCATATAGTCTTCCTAACTATGCAAGTGTTCCTGTTCCTTGTACAAGACCCCAACATGTGGATTTATGTCTACATGTCAGTTTAACACTAAAAGAATTAGTTTGGATTTACAAGTGGCTGCCATTCTTATTCTGGTTGTTTGAAGACAAAAACAGCTTATAGTTTTTTGGCACACACACACACGCACACACACACATATACACACAAAAATAGAAAAAGAAAAAGCTGGAAGCAGGCAGGCATTTAAGTTGTTTTTTAACGAATTTTTAAAAAATTTTATTTTTTATTATATGCATATGAGTGTTTTGCGTGCAGGTATGTAAGTGCACCATGCATGTCTGGTGCTCCCAGAGGCTAGAAGAGGACATCAGATCCCCTGAAACTGGAGTTAAGAATGGGTGTTAGTTGCCAAATGGGTGGTAGGAACCAAACCAGGTCTTCTGGAAGAGCAGTAAGTGCTCTTAAGGGATGAACCATTTCTCCTGTCCCTTATTTTTACCTTTTTGACATTTTGGTCATTACCCTTTGGTCTCCTTTAATGGCTGTGCCATCTCCCCATATTTTTTACTTCTTGAGACAGGGTCTCACTATGTATCCCTGGCTAGCCTGGAACTCACTATGTAGACCAGGTTGGCCTCAATCTCAGAGCGATCCGCCTGCCTCTCAAGTGCTGGAATTAAAGATGTGCATCACCATACCAGGTTATTTATTTTTTAAGTTTCATTTTTATTTTTTATGTGTCTGTGCCTCTGTGTCCCACATGTGTACAGGCACCTGCAGAGGCCAGAGAGGGTGTTGGATGCCCTGGAGCTGCAGTTACGGGTGGATGTGGGCTGCCCAGTGTGGGTGCGGGAAACAAACTCTGCAAGCACAAGTTTTCTTAACCACTGAATCATCTCTCCAAACCTTAAAGTTGCTTTTTAAAAAGAAAATGTCAAGGTGCTGGAGAGATGGCTCAGCAGTCAAGTTTAAGTACTGAATTTGCAAAGTTCAGTTCCCATAACCCATGTAGAGAGGCTTACAACTGCCTGTAATTCCAGCTCCAGGGGATCCATAAGTACCCACACACATGTGCACATACACACACACACACACACACACACACACACACAATTTTAAAAATTCTTTTTGAGGCTGGGCGTGGTGGCGCACGCCTTTAATCCCAGCACTTGGGAGGCAGAGGCAGGCAGATCTCTGTGAGTTCAAGGCCAGCCTGGTCTACATAGTGAGTTCCAGGACAGCTGGGTCTACAGGGAGACCCTGTCTCAAAAAGACCAAAAAAAAAAAAATTCTTTTTCAAACAGGGGGTCTCTATAGCCCCAGCTGGCCTGGTACTCACTATGCTCACTATGTAGACTGAGGCAAGCTGGCCTTGATCTCAGATCTCACAGATCGCTGCCTCTGCCTCCCAAATACTGGGATTAAAGGCGTGCACCACCATCCCTGGCTAAAAAAAAATTAAAAAAAAAAAAAAAGCACCCGGGCATGGTGGCGCACGCCTTTAATCCCAGCACTTGGGAGGCAGAGGCAGGCGGGTCTTTGTGAGTTGGGGGCCATCCTGGGCTATATAGCAAGTTCCAGGACAGCTGGGGTTACAGGGAGACCCTGTCTCAAAAAGTCAGAAAAACAAACAAACACATATGCCTAGCTAGGTGGTTCAGCAGGTAAGGGTTCTTATTGCCAAGCCTGACTATCTGAATTTTGACCCCTGGAACCACAGAGTGAAAAGAAAGAGCCAACAAACATGAAAGTCTCTCTCTCTCTCTCTCTCTCTCTCTCTCACACACACACACACACACACACACACACACACACACACACACATCCTTTAATTTAAATTTATTTTATTTCATGTGCATGACTGTTGCACCTGTATGTAAGTGCATCCATGTTGTGCCAGAAGGGGGTGTCTGACTTTTTGGAACTGGAGTTAGAGAAAGTTGTTAGCTGCCATGTGGGTGTTGGGACTCGAATCCGAGTCTTCTGCAAAAGCAACCAGTGCTCTTAACCACTAAGTCATCTCTCCAGCTAGGTGTGGTGGAGCTCACCTTTAATCTCAGCATTCAGGAGGCAGAGGCAGGCAGGTCTCTGTGAGGTCCAGGCCAGCCTGGTCTACATAGTGAGTTCAAGGCCAGCTGTGGCTACAGGGAGACCCTGTCTCAAAAAACAAATAACAACACATAAATAAAAATTATTATTATTTTTTTTGGTCACTGGGACTAAAGGCATGTGCCACCATGCCTGGCCCAATAAAAATAAACTTTAGAAAGATGAAAATGTCTCTTGGCATAGGTAACAGAAGAAGCCCCACCCTGGGCCTGTGCTAAGGCCTGCCATGTAAGGGAGCAGTGGGGCAGGGCTAGACCTGGATATATTTAGGTGATAAACGGGGATTGAAGTCAGGCCTAGTGGTGAAGGCCTGTAGTGCCAGCTTCCCAGCTACTTGAGAGGGGCTGAGGCAGGCTCACAAATTCAAGGCCATCCTAGGCAATTTATAGAGACCCTGTCTCAAAAAAAAAGGAAGACCAAGGCTATAGCTCAGTGGTGTGTGCTTGTCTTACATGGGTGAGGCTAAAAATTCTCAAAGATGTACATACATTCCCTCTGTGTGTGTGTGTGTGTGTACATATCCATAAATATATATAGGCATATATATATATATATATATGCGCCTAGCTAGGTGGTTCAGCAGGTAAGGGGCAACTGGGGCTACAGGAAGACCCTGTGGGGGGAGGGGGGGACCCTCAGTACTGCCAAAAAGAAAGGGGGTTGAAGCTGTTCTGGTCAGCACACATTACTCAAAGCCCAGGCTATTCCACTTGAACCATCTGCCTCTTTGTGAA